AGAAAGGAAGCTCCAGTGCAGTCGAATGTAGCAATAAAAAATAAACCTTTTCAGTCATATGTAATATTATCCTTAAGGTTAATAGGCCTTCTACAATAAGCCACAAGTCAGAACGTCAGAAGTCTTAACCAATCTTAACCAAGTAGTTCAAGTTATTGGCCAACTTCACCGATTATGACTTAAGATCGCTTAGAACTTCTGACTTGCGGCTTATTGTAGAAGGGCTGTAATAATTCTTTTTAACACTCACATAATCGCTTCCAGGCATTTCTGCGCGTCCGGAGAGTACAGCTCATCGATGTAGCTCCTGGAACTCTCGATGTCCTGCAAGACCGTGAGAAAACTGTGATGTAATTTTTGGCGTTACTAGCAACGGTGGGATTCGTGAGCTCTATCGATGAGTCAAATCACGGCCCTTTACCGGAGGTCGCGTACAAATCTAATCGGACATCGAACTCACCATGTACGGCTGCATCACCGACACCATCTTCGCTCGTCTGCGTTCTCACATAAATATCCCGTAAATCGTTCCGCTCGGTCGGGCTTCCTGGCACAACGATTACCACGAGGAACCGTCAGATTCAGTTTGCGCACTATATACGTTCTATACGAAACGTTCGCGATTCGGTTGTGCGTTGCGTTCTCGTGTTCTAAAATAAGCTCGACTTGTTGCCAATGATGCCAACATTATGGAGCGTTTTTCTTCTAGCGATGTTGGAAAAAGTCTTCCTGCCTCCCCCCTATAAGTTATAACTACTCCTAATAGTCCTAATTCGATTCTCTTCAACATTCTTTCTTTTTATAATAGAACAAGGATAAATCAGGAATAATAATTTATAATTAAATATATAATTTGCGGATTAATGTACAATTAACTTGAGAATTAAATTGTTTAATCTACACATAAAGCAAATAGAATTTTGTATTTTTATCAAATATATACGTAGAGTATAATATGCACTTTCAAACAAAACACTCCTTAATTCTGATGAGTTTTAGAACGCATTGGAATTTTAAAAGTTCGAACACACTATACTTCTATAGATTTGTGCAATTACGTCATGTTAAATAAATTTTGTATGTGTATGATGTGTAAAATATATATAATATATACATATACATATGCATATGCATATATCATATATATTTTACACACACATAACAAGTACATTGATCGATACTTTTATTTAATCGCCCATTTTTTAGTTTGCATTAAATTGAGATTGATTATAATTATATTATGTGTTGTTTAATTTAAATTGAAATTCTAATCATGAGAATTCCGGTATGAGTAACTATTGTACTCATTAGAATATTTTCTTTTGGTCGTTTTGAGATTTTCAAGAATTTCACGTATATTTCAGCTAATACTTCCTGTAAAATTGTCATGTCACATCAGAGTGACATGCAATAAATTTCTGCAACAAAGACCTCAATCATGTAGATAATTATTTTGTTTATCCAGTTAAGAATGATTTGACTATAAGTATACTTAATTTAAAACATTAAAAAACAACAAGTCGTTGGAATCTAGGCCGTATCATGCCATAATTATTATTTCCAACATGCGAGTACATATGCGCTTTTTATATATTGAACATCTTGCGTAGTTACCGCTTTAACATTGAGAAGGACTTGATAGGAGTCGAAACGTCTGTACGTTTTTATATTGCTTACAATAATATTGTTACTCATACATTATTTTGAGTTGGTTAAATTGGTTAAATTCTTAGCCTCTATATTGTATTGTTTAATTTATTTAATTATTGGAATAAGTAGAGGCCTAAGAATTTAATCGTTATTATTTATTGAATATTAAAAAACAAAAAAAAAGATATGATGAAGATTTAAAAAAAATAATAAAGTATTAAAATATAATACAATTTATTATATAAAAACAGAAGTCTTCAATTTTTTATTTTTCTGCTTTATGATATCTTTTTCGATCACAAATAAAAGTTATAATTATATATTTTAATGTGTGACAGTTTTATTTATTCTAAAATTATAAATATAATGTATAATATACATTTTTATATTTATTTTTAATTTTTTGTATGGTCTATTTTGTAATCTAATTTCGCATACAGTATTTTATAGACAGCACTTTTCGACATTTAGGCCTTCCAGAACTCAATGCTGAAATCAGCTTGGTAGTCAATGTTAAAATATTCTTTTGCCATATAATACATTAAATTTCTTTAGGCATAATGTATATATTCGATAATTATAATTGGACAACACCCACACACACACACACACACACACACACACACACACATACACACACACACACACACACACACACACACACACACACACACACACAACACATACATATATATAGATTGATGTAGCGATTTCAATTGATTTGCGCTTTTGCAATGCGATTTTGTAAATGCATTTCGAACTTATGTTGAAATAAAAAGATTTCAACCTTCCTGTCTCATGTATTGCTAAATAGTTGATTTAACAGAACAGATGCAAATGCGTGCATTTTGCACACACGGCACGTGTATGCAATCGTCATATTGATGAAACAGTCGGGACCGATCGGGAGTAATCGGGACGTTCGATTCAGATTTGACGCTCACGCCTTTCGAAGTTTGAGTGCTAACAAGTGCCAATTTCCTGTCCCATAAATCTTTTCCAAAACAATTGTATATAATTCCGGAGACGATAGATGAATATGAATTGAAATGTTCATCTGATGAATTTAGACCCGTGCAAAGGGCGTTCGCGAAAGAGCTGGAAAGAGCTGACGAAGCTCCATCCATGTACAAACGTGCCGCATCATAAGCAATGACGTGGATATAGGTTAAGTTCTCATTCACGCTCAAACAAATCATATCGCCAAGTGTATCGAGCAATTTCTGACAAAGACAATTGTAAATAATGTTCGAAATCACAGACACGCAAAGTGAGTAAAAGGATTCCTCTTGTCAATATTGAAAGAGATTCTTTGTAGTAAACCGGCAAATATCCGAGATATTGATTGCATTCTGTTGATTGTACTATAAGGGATGTGTTCCAGAAATCGGAGTCGGACTGGCGGGATTTGGAATTTCCTTTCTGTTTCTCGGCGTACTGTTACTCTTCGATAAAGGTTTACTCGCTATTGGAAATGTAAGATCACTGCACGTTCTTTATTATTTATTTACATTAAATCTTATACCAGATTATTTATTTATTTATGTTAAGTCCGGTTGACACCGGATTGACCTTATGGACTATTCCTTGTAGCTTCTGTTTATATCGGGATTGGCATGTGTCATCGGGCCATGGAGGACGTTAAACTTCTTCTTTCAAAGGCACAAGATAAAAGCCAGTGCCTCATTTCTAGGAGGTGTTTTTGTAGTACTTATGGGTTGGCCCCTTGTAGGAATGATTTTAGAAACCTATGGCTTTGTATTACTCTTCAGGTAAGTGTTGTATACTTAAATCTTTAGATGCTTCTACAACTACAGCACAGTGGAACTAATATAACAGGTCTAATATAACACGCTAATGCCTATAGATTTCATCAATGTAGTTTAATTTTAATCTCGGTACAATTCTTTTTCTAGTTCTAAGAATTAGAAAAAGATGAAGAGTAAGTTGCATCGAGATTAAAGTTAATCTATATAGAAACAGACATAAAGGAAATATTAGCCTGTTCTTTTCAGCTGAACTTTTCACATAGTTCAACTTTTCTTTTTTTCTTCAACATGAAGGAAAGATTAATGATTATGCAAAATAAACTTCAGCTGAAAAGAACAGACCTATTCAAGTGTGAGAAAACATAGCGAGTGCACTGGCTGTGTTTAGCAGACCACAACAGTTTTACATCCGTTTTGTGATTGTCAGCAATAAAAATATAATCAAATCAACGCGAAGAAAACTTCCAACAGTTGCAAAATAAACGTTCTACTGAATGCAGCCATCGTCTCTCTCTCTCTCTATATATATATATATACGAAAAAAATTTATTATAAAATCTCAAATAACTGATGTCCACTGATAGTAATAAATCCATGTTTTGTAACAGATAATTTATCACATATATTTGTTTCAGTGGTTTTCTACCAGTAGCAATAAACTTTCTACGAAGAGTACCTATATTGGGAACTCTATTAAATATGCCTGGTATCAGTCGAGTTTTGGACATAATAGCAGGTGATTCTAATCGGACAACTGTATGATACAACTATATAATATATTAAAACCATCCACATCTTTTTGCTTGGAACCTGTATATAAATCAGTCAAATGTTCATGTTTCATATTTTTTTTGTCACTTCCGTTTAAGAATGTCAGCTGTCAAGTTTTGGTACAAAAATGTAAGAATTTACTTATTTCTTATATAAGTCGTAAGAAATGTCATTAAGATTATATATAATGAATTTGTATCTTTCGAATTTATATACATATAACTTATATGTATTGATTATGTCAAGGGTACACTTGGTTACGTAAAACATTCCAAAGACTTTTTTGTAAAAAAAAATAGGCATTATTCATTTTCTTCATCTTAAAATATTCATCATTGTCAGTAAACAAATAATGGCCAACAAATGTACCCTTCTCCTGATCAAGTAATGAATGTTTCGGGATAATGTAATAAATGGACGTGTTTAATGTGTTATTTATCATTAATATATCTTATACTTATTGAAATCAAGATAAAGAATATACCGAATTTACATAAGATCCTTTTAAAAATTTTCCAACAAAAATATTTCAATACGACCTTAAATATTAATTTAAAAATGTATCAGATTAGTAATGTTGAATACTAAGTACTTAAGTCTTATTAACGGAATGATATTAAATGTGAAAAAAATATGCAATATGTATAATTTTAAATTGTTAAATCTTTGTCAATCTTTATTAATTTTATAATTAAATTTTTGAAATAATTTAATGAAATTTATTATACTAAGATCAGCTTCGAAAAAATATTTTTTATTTAAATAAGTTCTTTTTACTGTTTCAGGGAACAAAAATAATTTCTGAATGTATGAAATTTTATATCATTTTTATTGATTTGCTGCTTTCCCTGCATGCATCCTAACATGAACAGATTAGATGCATACATTCTGAGTAACGCTTTTCTTCTTACATGGTCGTCTTGGAGTGCGAAATTAAATTATCGTCCGTCAAAAATTAACGAACTGGCTGATTACCATTAAAATGATAAGTTTTATTAATTACGAATTAATTATGAATTATCTACAACGGGCCGAGAATAAGGGCGGGGGGCGGCCCAGGCTACGCGCCCCGCCATCGCCGTGATGACATTTCGTCGCGCATCCTCCTCTCTCGATGGTTTCGCGTGCGCTGACTCGATACTCTAGGCAATTTATTACTTTCAAGTACTTTGATATTCCGACCGGTCTACTTACTCAGCGTAGCGTGTATGGAACGTTATCCAAGTAACAGGTGTTCGCGATATTTTCGCGATTGTGCTTGTCTCTTCAACGTTTTTACAATGGAATACGAAAATACGTAAATGTCAATCGCTGCGGGAAAATACTGAATCCGGCAATAAGTTAAGCAGATTCTCTTCTATTCCTTTGTTTATTTTTGCCGAGTTTCATGCACTTTACGAGCTGCTACGTCGACCGTCCTCAGCCTGAATTACTTATTAATATCGCCGACAACGTTTCTTCTGTCTGTCGGTCTGTGGGAATCGCTATCAAATCGGATGATGTGGATAATTAATGACGATGTCAATGATTGTGAGAGTAATGAGACGAGGATCGTATTAGCGCTTTAAAGAAGGTTCTTAATTTCATCGTACAATACGAGTACGAGCGCACCACCTGTTCCACGGAGAACATTAGAGAACGCGCCCTTGAAGAAGGCATTACCACCTTCCGTTTTGTAAATGGTGGCCCAACAATGGAGAGTGTTTTTGTACAAAATGTCAGTCTTGGCACGGCCGGACTGCATCATCATACGCCTACGTACTGTATCGAAGGGATAAGACACAATACCCGCGACAGTAGTTACGACCTGCAACAGATTCAGATGAATAAATAAAATGCAGTTCAATGAGATTGCATCAACTTAGTAGAAATGTAGTAAAATCATCTCACCTGGGCAATACCCCATGAAACGAGGAATGGAGTCTTTTTGGGGTCTGGCAGCATACCACGGGCAGTGTCATAGAAACCGAAATAAGATGCACGATAAATGATGATACCCTGCACCGATACGCCGAACCCACGGTAAAGACCGACGATACCGTCAGCTTTGAAGATCTTCGTCAAACAATTACCTAATCCTGTGAACTCACGCTCACCGCCAGCTTTGCCTACATCGGCAGCCAACCTAATGGAACAAAGAAAGAATACAATGTAGCATAATTTTATAATTTTTTATATTATTTGGGTATTTGTAGGACATCTCACTTATTTGTACGAAATGTACAAATATAAAGGGAGACGGTGAATACAAAATTAACGTGATATTAATACTTTTATAAGTATCAATATATAGTATATCTTTATAAATTAAATAAGTTTACTTACATAAATATAGCTACATGTGTTACTTCTCATTGCGATAAAATTTAAATCGGACATTTATAAGGGTAAAAGTAATTATATTAAATTGAATTTAATTACAATTATTAATTGCTCGTTAATTGTACGATGATTTCTATCATTAGTGCAGGGATAAAAATTTTTATTTTTAGCGTATAGTTAAAACAACTTCTATTATTATATGAATTCAATATTCTATTATTAACACATGAATAAAATAAAACACTCTAATTATAAGTAATTTACCTGGTTCTGGCAAAGTCGAGTGGGTAGACAAAGCACAGAGAAGTGGCTCCAGCAGCACCACCAGACGCGAGATTTCCAAGGAAATAACGGAAAAATTGAGTGTTCTTATCAACGCCACCAAGGAAAACCTGCTTGTATTTATCCTTGAAGGCAAAGTTCAAGGCTTGCGTTGGGAAATATCTGATAACATTGGCGAAATTACCACGCCAGTAACTGAGGAATCCTTGTTCACGTGGGATACGAACGAAACAATCGATCATACCTGGAAAGTAATATACAATGTAAATATGTGAATCGTGCGGAGATAAATATACAACGTTCTTATACTTTGTTATTTTAATAATTTTGACAACTTATTTTATACATGATAACTTATTTTATATATAATAATTTATTTTCTACTTTAAATATTCAAAATGCTACACAAGTCACAAATTCAAGTATATTTTATATATTCTAAAATGTTAATAGGCTACCGTCGTTTTTTTACTGTCACATAATTCGTGAATTATTTCAGTTATCCTTAAAAAAAATTTAATTGAATATAAACTTTCGTGAGTCTGAGATTTTTAATGCTAATTATATATACAAAACAAAATATGCATAATTATTTATAATAGGCATAACAAATAAATTAGAAAGAGAGATACGTAATGTTTAACTACAAAACTATATAATTTTATATATTTTATGTTACATACATATAATAAACATAAAAAATTTCATACTTTTAAAGATTATTCCCAGAACTCTTTTCTAATATAAACTCTTCACTAATATAAATGTTAACTTTTCTGTCAGCAATAGGAGAAACAAAGCAAATTTTTTATTGCTCCGGATAAAAATCTGAAAAAATTCTGATACTTATTAAAACAAACTTTAACAGATTTTTTATCATCATAGGGTAATTGTCCTAATTACTGTGCCTGTCCCTATTAGTGTGCTTTTGTATTTTGATAAGTCATAAAGAAAACTAGCACAAATAAATACGAAAAAATATTTTTTTTGTTAAGTTAAATTATTAATGCATACGATACCGAAGATAATATTTTATTTTTTGAGTATTAAGTATTTTAAATACTTTTCGAAAGATATGAGGAATTTATGTGAATCCAGTAATGCGTACCGCAAGATTTTAAGCTTGTCCCTATTAATGTGCCCTGCATTGGAGTTGAGAACGTTGTGTTATGAGTGTACTTTAAAATAAATATATATAATTAAAATAATGATTTATGTAATATTAACATAAACATGTAGCTTAAATTTATTACCTGTTTTAGTAACTATATGTTAAAATGAGTCAAATGTGGATAGGCATACAAATTGGAGGCACATTAATAGGATCATCGCCGCTTAGAGGACTCACTAATAGGGACAAAAACACGTTTTCTATTTTTGTCAAAAGCATCGTAAAATATTAACATTTGTTTTAGATTAAAGAAATATAAGAAAAAGAAGTAGTTGAAAAACCGATATTGATTGCAAACAGTTAAAATTAAAGCTACAATATTTAATAATCAATTCAGTAATAAGCAAATTGGCTAAAAAAGGCACATTAATAGAGACAGTTACCCTAGATATCAGATTCTTATTTACCTTATTTTTTACAAATTTAAATTTGTCTACCAAAATTCACAATCGAAGTATTACTGCCATTCAAGACTCAAATTACCAACAAAAGATTAAGAATAAAAGATCCGTTTCCTTGTACTAGACGACACTAGAATTTTCTTGCTTTCACCAAATATCAAACATATACCTATTTCACTTTAAATTCGAAAAATGTACACTAAATAGACTTATGCCTGGTTCATGCTTCGGCTTTAATCCTAAAATTCAGCCAATGGAATACAGATTTCAGTTAGGACCAATTAGAACTGGCAGCCCTTTGGCTGAATTTTAAAATTTTAAGGTTAAGATCGAAATATAGACCAAGAATTAAAAGACGACGGTAGATATCTAGAACGTTTTCGAACAATTAAGTAGCATTTTGAATATTTAAAGTGGAAAATTGTCTCACTAATAGTACATTATCATCCAAGTGTATCGACTTCTCTTGTAACTTTATTCCTTAATTTTATCTTTGTAATTTGACACGGTAATGTGTAACAAAAAAGATTACGGGGAAACGATAAGCTGCAAGCTCTCTCGTTATCATTACGTCGTCAGCAACGTGACTCGACGATCGGCACGAGATCGACCATTGCCGACCATAAAATGCGTTCATTATAAATTCCTGAGCAGTAACATTTCTTCAGAGCGTCAAACGAACGGGAATTCGGCCCGACAACGTGTCAACGCGTCGTCGGCGTGGATGAATCAGAGAGGAGGCTGTGAATGGACGGCGGGGGAATTCGTGACGCGTGGAAGTAGAAGGCAGAGGAATTCGGTCTCGTGGTCGAACGAAAGGGCGGCCATGTTGGACCGCGCCGTCATCGATCGAGGTCTCGGTGGAGAAGAGAGGAAGCCGATGCGCTGCCATCTGGCTCGGGGAACGACTGGCCGTTCCAAGCGAAATATCGATTTCATCGCGAGGGGCATTGGTGGATGAAGCGAAATTTCCGCCGCGTGCGAGATCGGACCGCCGCGCGGCCGGAGTTATGTAAGTCCGGCCGAAACTGCAGGCCGACCTTCGTTACATAAAAGTAATGCGAAATTTCGTCGCGTGTGCGCGCGCGCGCGCACACGTTCGCGTTTTCGCGTCGTTCGCGTGGCCGTGTTCCACACGCGGTGCGCGGCACCAACGACACGCGTTACATAACGGCCATGTCTTTTCTTTCTTATCTCTTCGCTGACGACATGCGTCGGGACGGCTCGTCGCCGCGTTCGCGCACCGCGAGGAACAATAGGCACGTTCGAAACTACTTGGCTACTGTCACATGTTCCGTGTGTGTACGCGCAGGTTTTCACCGCATGAACGGTAAACCCGATCGTTCTCTTTCCCTCGAACGAGTTACGGCCGCGTCCGTCCTTACCGTGACACCGGAAAAATGCGTGAAGCGGCCGGCACTTCCCCACACGATTTCCCACGAGATCCGGAAAGAGCGAGACAAGTAGATATAGAGGAAGGGAATATATACCGGGGAACTTCCGCACTTACCCTTGTAACGCTGATCCTCGGCGATTTGCTTGGAGATGTGCTGTACCTGCAGCAACAACTTTACGCGCTCAATGGGCGCGACAGTGGTCTTAGAGATAGCCGCAGCTACACCGCCGGCTATAAAATCCTTGGCGAAAGCCACGGGATCCGCGAGTCCAGACATCGTGATGGGTTGAGTGCGCGTGTGTATGGGTGTTGGGTGAGACACGGGTAACGTAAAGGAGAGAGAGAGAGAGGAGAGACTCCAAGTGTCTCTGACGCGCGCCGGACGACGAATGGCCGAGGCAGCGTACGTTCGTCGCCTCCTGCGGCTAAGAATAGCCGCGCAGGTCACGTGTGCCGCTTCGCGCAGCTACGGACGAAGCGACGTCGTCACGCCACGTCGCCGCCGTGGCCAGCCCATCCGCCACGGAAATCATCCTGACGCTTCCAGCCGAAATTGCGCTTCCGCGATTGCGGTATTCGTGACCTTTCACTCTCGACGGATCGGTCAACCTCGGTCAACCTAGGCTGCCCGACACCGCCACCTCGATCATCCTGAGCGATCCTGAGTCTCGCTCATCTTTCCAGTTTGAAACTAGTCGTTTTTCGCGCCGCGGTGACGTCACGTCCTATCGCGAACGGCCTATCGCTCACCGCGATCTCGCGTTCGAAATTATGAATGCGAATGGCGGGAACGGTTTATCCGAAATTCCAGACGGGCGCGGGAAAAAGAAAAATCCTTTTTCCGAACTTCCGATTGTTTTGTCCGATGGGAGATTTGTACGAGTTTTATCTCCTCCCATCGAGGGAGAACAAGGAATGCTTTGTTGGATAATCGCGAAATGGAACGCGCAATGCGTTGTGTAATTTTGATCGATGAATATATCAATTTCTATTAGTGTGGAGTAACTTTGATCTCGGTTTAACTTACTCTTTAGACTTTTCTTATTTTTAAAACGAGAAAAAAAAGATAAAAAGCAAGTTAAACCAAGATTAAAGTTAATCTAGTTGATAGAAACGGGGATTAATGAGATTATGTCTATTTTTATCCAATGTAGATGTAATGAAGTGCCACAACACTTTAATCTTAAGTTTAATTTACTTTTTATATTTTTCTCTCTAGTTCTAAGAATTTCAAAAGAACATTAAATCGAAATTAAAGTTAATCTACGTTGATAGAAATGGATATAGGTATGACTCTTTTCACCATGTAGAATTAATTTCGGAATCATTTGAAACATAATAAAAATCGTGATAAAATTGATTAGATTGTTTCATTACGAAGGTCATTCACATTCTCTTGATAGAAATTTTATCTCGACACCATATTAGACCACAGATCAATCTAATAACGTTTTCGGCCCGATCGGGTTTGCACCAACCTGGGTTGGATTAATCTTTCCTATTGGTTGACGTCACCCGCTCTACCAATAGGAGAGCACAAAACGCCATTAATCCAATCCAGGTTGGTGCAAACCTGGCCGAATCGAAAACGGTATAATACTCGTTTGCTATTTATTAATTAACGAACTTTCGAAAATTCGAAAATTATTCTTTCGTCGTTGTCGATTTATAAGTCGCGGATGATCGTGGGCACGTGACCGCGCGAAGTTGCGCGAGATTCCCTCGGAGAATCCTCGGCTGTGTTCATTTCGTTGCGGTCGCGAGTTCGGCTGTTCGGCACTCAACTTCGGGGCGGTCTCGCGCTCCTTGTCAAGAGTAGAAATTGCAAGGTCAATTCTCCCCCGAGGAAGGAGGTCAACGAGTACGCGCGTCGCTTGCGTAACCCTGGCTCACGGCCCACCGCATTACGGAGGATCCGCGCCAGCGAAGTTCAATGGAGTAACGTCAAAAGCGGGGTGTATTTATACACCTGCAAGAGAAAGAAAGAGAGAGAGAGACGGAGAGGAGAAGATGAGCACGCGTCACGCGCGCGACCGCGCGCGCGGAATAGCCGTGCTAAAATCAGCTGTCCCTCGTCACACGCGCTCGTCCACATGTATACATTCGTGTCGATACCGTGGGTTACTAGAAGATTAGAATGCACGTATGCGCACTGTGCGTGCGCGCGCGTCATCGCAGCGATCGATCTGTCCACGTGTGTGCGTTGGGGAATCACGACAAGCACGTCTACTTTGACCTTTTGACTCGTGCTTGGATCTGATTCGAACGACGGCACCTTGATACGATTCGATTTATACTTGACATTGTCCTCGCGGGAGTATTTAGAAGATGCGCGAGAGACTTATAGGTGCCGATAAGGAAAAAGAAATGCCTGCAGGGGTTCGATTGTCACGTAACTTGGTGGAAATTATATAAAAATGAGCAGACTCACTAGGTGTTGATCTCAATTATAAATATTCTAGTAAAATCATAAATATTATTTTATAGTAAATTTGCTCATTCTTATTATTTTCGTCACCCAAGCAGAACATAATTATTAGACACCAAAACGGCTCCAAAGTTATCATTTTACTTATTAAAAACTATACTTTTTAATCAATAGCAATTCTTCTTAACATCATTTTGACGTTATCGCGTAACTTGGGCAAGTTGTGATACACAATCGAACTTCCTGGAAGGCCTTTGTTTTTAAAATCGAATTTTTAGACTCGAGATTGTTGAGGAAAATGAAAAAAAAAAGTTGTTTGTAAAAGTCACAATATAATATCAATCATCATGATCTTATTTATAAATTATAAGTTCATTTTTAGATATTCAATCACGTCATGATGACGTTCTATATGACATCATTATGACTTAATTATGACTCTGTGTTCTATCTGGAACTCGAGGAACGCAAAAGTCAACAAAAAATCAAAATGACTTAATTTTGATTCTTAACGTCAATAGACAGTCAAATTTTGTAACAAAATATCATCTTTTTTAAACTTTCTCTTGACTTGGTGTGTTCCTTGGGAAGTCGAGTGTTTCTCGGTGGACAGGAGACAATTTGCAGACGAGGTTTAAAATAAAGTCGGTCTGAATAAAAAATAATGTTTTTTTCCTGTTCAGGAAAAAAACGTTTTTTTTTAATTCTTTCTCTTGCAGGTGTATAAATACACCCCGTTTTTTTCCTGAGCAGGAAAAAAACGTTATTTTTCATTCAGACCGACTTTATTTTAAACCTCGTCTGCAAATTGTCCCCGTCCACCAAGAAACACTCGACTTCTCAAGGAACACATCAAGTGTCAAGAAAAAATTTTTTAAATGATGATTTTTTACACCTTATTTGCTTATTGTCTCGCATTTGTTAGAACGTTATTTGTGTTCCTTTCGATCTAATCGTGGTTTTGACGCATATCTCATGAACTCTCAGTTTAGCGTCAAACAGCTAAGTATTCGTATCTATATATTGGAGGATGAGCACCACGTTCTGGTGACGAAGAACAGAATGAAAGCGTAATCATGGTTGCTAGGTGAATACGATTATGTGTTGTCCTCCACTATACTCCACTATAACTTTTATTTTCAAATACTTTGTAGTCCACGACAGTATTCTAAATTCATAAAACTCGTACAGAAACAGAAATTGCAGGAAACTATAAAATAAAATAAAAATTAAGAAAAGAAAAAATCATGCAAATCTAGAATATAATTCTAATCTTGTACGTTTTAAATTACTACCCAGACAATTGCATGACTCTAAAAGACATTATAAAGACGTCTCTTTTGAACACGCATATCTAAAGGCATCTAAAAAACGCTTTAAAAAGTATCTTTTATGCCAAATTTCTTCACTTCCAGATAAGTTGCGGATAACCTTATATCCAGGAAATATCTCCATTGTATTCTGAGAGATATCTCTTGAATAAAGTTATCTAGAGATGAAGGAATTGGGCATTAGACACACATGTTAACTGGGTATTTAATAGCCTTGATCGAATTCACCTTTAAGAGATATTACATAAGAGAGTGCGACGACTATAAGAATGACGTGTGTTTGTTTTGATATATCTTTTCCAATCACTAACGGAGATAGATTAATACTCTCTATAGAAAATATTCCAAATATGAAGTACCTAATACCAGTCTGGGGACTATTGATATCTTTGGAGCAAAGGAGGAAAGCCGTTCGTATGTGTAATTAGAAATACCAAAGAGTATCTCAATATATTTCCCGTTACGGTAGTATGCAATAAAGATCTCAAATCAGATAAAACTGACAAGGAAGTTGCGTGATAAGAATTTTGACGAATCATTTACAATAGGTATATTACTGCCACGCATAGGAATGTGTGTAGACGACGTGAAAAGCTGGCGTTATCTTCAACTCAGGCTCGCCGGAGATCGAACCCGGGAACTCGAATATCGCATATTGGATTAAGTGTCGACCTTGACGTTAAATCGACACCTACGACTGTGTAACCGCTTTAAGCGATTTTCTAATGCAAACTTTTGAGGCACCTGAGAAAAGCACTCGTGACTCTTTTTTTATTGTCGAACGCTCAAGATCGCACGCGATCACAAAGCTCCGCGACACTTGAGCGACATACGTGACGCAATATGAGAGATGAGAAAAAATAAAAAAGAAATACGATCGTCGTCATCGTGAACTACGATATGTAATCGGGAGCGACCGCTGCCTTTTTTAAAACGATCATCCACGAACGCGTGTACGATATTTCGTGATTTATTGTTACGCGTTCAAAACGATTTGATATCTTTATTACGTAAACTACAAAAATCATGATTTAAATTAAAATTAATTACTCATTAGATGGATCTGTTAAATAATAATTAATTAATCTTTCTTAATTAACATTTCAAAAATTATTGTTAACAATTTTATATTTTGACAAGCTGATTGTCTTTACTTATCATGTTCCAACAAATAAATGGACGTTATTTATTGTTATTTTGTCATCAATTCTTCATAAGAGAATAGATTTGTTCAGAGATCAATTCACTATTGTTGTCGGATTGACTAGTTGGTTGCAATCGACTTTTTGGCTGTCCCTGATAATTGGAATGTATATATGCACACGACGTCTAAATAGAAATACATAAATGCAACGATCCTTTATATAATGTTGGAGTACAAAGAGATTCTACGATAAACTTTCGTATGTTAAAGTTGACCACGTGGCATACAATGTGGATATATTTATTTACTTGATGTGTAGAAAGTATAATAGCCCAAGCAGAACAAGTTACGATAACGTCAAAATTACGTTAAAATGAATTGTATATGATATTTTGGAGTCATTTTGACATCATTTTAATATTATTATAATGACTTGTTCTACTCGGGAGAGAGCTCGTATCCCGAGACTTTGCGGGAAACAACGTTTTTCGGTATTATCCGTGCATTCATTATAAAAATAAATCCGCGTAAAAATAAACGTGATGTGCCAGCGTTTGGTACCATTTTCAGCAGCACACTCTCTTTACTGGATTATTATACTTGAAACACTTAACTTATTTGTTACAATATAATAAATTTTACGAATAACTGTAATTATTATATATATTTTATAGATATATATATGTTGGATTTGCGTAATGATGTAGCTTTAGCAGAACGACTTCTAGATAATACATTGAGTCAATTTACATATCAATGCAAATGCATTTTTATAACACCAAGAACTTTTTGCAGGGAAGCTCGTCCTTCGTTTTTAAACAATTCCATGCCAACGTTCATTATCTGATCTAGCGAGTAATTCAGTTCCCCGCCCGACTATTTAAATCGTCGAGGCGCGAGAAGCTCTGTTGGTACATTCGACAGCGCTAGAACATACGAGGCTTACGAGGCGAATTCAACGCTATCTAGTGGCAGCACAATAATAGACAGGCGGTCAGCAAACGAGAGAATAAAAGCAAAAAAAACACAAAAAAAAGATATCGTGTAAACTTTGTGACAGGACGAGAGGAGCAAGAGGTGGAGTTGATACTCGGAGATACGCGCCGGGATTGAGCCAGGGTACTCAAGCGATGTGCTGAATCGCTTCTTTCACGACGGATTTCCGTCTTCGTGGACTTGAGGTCGGCGAGACGTCCGGAGCGATCGACTGACAGTAGTGACAGTGAGTATCCCTCCTTGATTTTCGTCGATGTGTGCCGCCAACCCGGGTATGCTGCTCCGTATCTTCATCGCTGCGTAATTTTAATTGAACGGCCGATCTACGTAATTATCCCGGATATACTTTGCACAACGCGTTACCTCTCTAATCTGACGCTTGTATTTAAACGTCACGTTACACGGTCTACAAACCACTACTCTAATTAGGAATCTCCACTGTTCAATTTATTTGATTAACTGAACACACATATATTTACATGTGCACACACGTACGCGTTTATCCGTTAGATAAAGCATATTCTGTTTACGTGAAAAATATCGACAATTCAATGACGATGTCAGTGCAAAATTGGTCTCTGTTCTACTTGTATGATAAATAGTAGATTTCTGTGTAATGCTTTGTGATATTTTCTCTAATCTTCTTGTGATAAATGGTATAATTGTTGTAGACATAATTGCACCATAATGATAACCAGATAAATGTCGCCTAAGGAAGAGGCAAAAATCAGCAACATGACTGAAGGTTGGTTATTCAATGTCTATGCTATAATAAATTTAGAAACTAATGAGTTTGTATTCCTATTTTAGGTGCAGAAACTCAACCAAACGCGGGAAATGAGCCCCAGGCAGGTAAGTCGGTTCATTAATAACCTGTTATGTATATATATATATATATATATGTATATATAATTATAACTATGTAAAGTTAAACATCAAATCTGATATAATTGAATTAGCATTTGTTATAGATATCTGTTATATGACAGAGTGGGGCTTCATTTTTCAGTCTCTTCTCTATTATATCTTATTATATTATGTTATTCAACAGTAAACATAGATTTTTAAGTTATCAGATTATTTAACCAATATTGACATACAATTAGATAAAATGTTTAATAGCATAATAAGATTTATATTGACAGCAAAAATTAAGAATATTTTATATATTCTTTATGTATTATAGTATGCCAAAATAGCTTAACATTTTATATAAAAAAGTTTTATTAATTTCAATAAAATTAACATATTTCTAGTAGATAGGAATCACAAGTTTATGTTGTGCTCTTACAGAAGCCTTAGAACCAAGGGCAACACATAGCGAAGGATTACACGAGGGAGCAGCGGAATCAACATCGCAAGCTGCTCTTGAACCTATGCAAGAGCTTCTTACAGTTCATGGAGCTACGCAGGGAGAGAGTAGCGATGCTGTCAGTATTTATACTGCCAGCACTTCCGTGTCTGGTAATGGTAAGTTTACAAACTTATGTAGTGATAATATTATAATTAATACGTGTGTATATGTACAAATATTTATATTTGTATTATTTTTTAGAATCAAGTTCAAGTAGAGTCAGCGCGATAACTGTGGTGTTACCTTGGGGTGCTCAAAAAGAGACAGTGAAGCCACAACAAATAGGAGATATGGATTTAAGACCGGGAGAGTACGTGATGCGTATTCTATTCGCAGAATTCACTTTGCAGGCGGAGAAAAAGATGGAGGCTGTTATGACGGAACATGTAAGCAATTGTTGAAGCGATTATTGTTGTTGCAACAATCTTATTTGAATGCATTATTTTCAGGAGAAACAGTTATCGAAAGTTTTACAAAGAGGAGAAGATCCACAATTTGATCAACTATTATCGGCTTTTGGTTCTGTCGCTGAACATTGTTTACCATCAATATTGAAAGCTCTCTTTAATTGGTATGAACGTCAGCTTATTGACCAAGGTGGTGATCAGAAAAAACCTGCTCCTGGGAAGGAAGACCAAAAAGGAAAAAGGTAATAAGATGATAAATTGGTTTATCTTGTAAACATTTATAATGATAAATGTATCATTTCAGTATTATGTATACAATAGTATCAGGAAGTGTAGAAACAGTGGAAAGAAGCGAGGCAGATCTCTTGCAAGAGCGTAGAGATCTTGCTGTCGAATTTATATTTTGTTTAATGCTGATCGAGGTTTTACGTCAATTACCATTTCATCCTGGACATGAGGATTTAGTAACATACATAGAAAATATTGCTTTTAAACATTTTAAATATAGAGAAGGGTATGAACTACTACATTGCAATAAGAATGAAGAAAGAAGATACATATAAAACTTAATATTTACATATTTTTTCAGCATACAAAACGAGCCAAATGCAGCTAACATTCACATTATTGCTGATCTTTATGCTGAAGTAATAGGAGTTTTAGCACAATCCAGGTTTATGTCAGTGAGAAAACGTTTTATGGTAGAATTAAAAGAATTGCGAGCTAAAGAGCCAGGTCCTCATACTACACAGAGTATTATTTCCTTATTAATGGGAATGAAATTTTTCCGAGTTAAAGTAATTATCACATCCAATTAATATAATATTTAATATGTATATTATTTTGAACTTGCATTATGTTTTTAAGATTCTTTTACTTTTAACTAATGCGTGTTACATGAATTTTCAGATGGTACCAATAGAAGAATTTGAGGCATCGTTTCAATTTATGCAGGAGTGCGCGCAGTATTTCTTGGAAGTAAAAGATAAAGATGTTAAACACGCTTTAGCTGGTCTTTTTGTTGAAATACTCGTCCCTGTTGCTGCTGTGGGTATTCTAGACCACAAATTATAATTCATGCATCATCAAAAAATGTTGTAATTATTTGTATTTTTATATTCTAGGCTGTAAAAAACGAAGTGAACGTACCGTGTCTGAAAAATTTTGTGGAAATGCTGTACTCAACGACATTAGACATGTGTACAAAGTCTAAGCATAGACTGGCGCTTTTTCCATTAGTAACCTGCTTGCTTTGCGTTAGCCAGAAAACATTCTTTTTACAAAACTGGCATTACTTTTTAGCTATGTGTCTATCTCACTTGAAGAATCGTGATCCAAAGATGTGTCGAGTTGCGTTAGGTACGATTAAAGTACAAATTTTATATTATACATGATATTTGTTTAAAAGAGAATTGAAAATAAATTATGTACCTTTTGCATCTATTATATTACAGAGGCCTTATATCGTTTACTCTGGGTTTATATGATACGAATCAAGTGTGAGAGCAATTCGGCTACGCAAAGCAGACTTCAAAGCATAGTGAATTCTTTATTTCCTAAGGGATCGAAGGCGGTAGTGCCGCGAGACACTCCGCTGAATATTTTTGTAAAGATTATTCAATTTATTGCGCAAGAGAGACTGGACTTTGCAATGCGTGAGATAGTATTCGACTTACTGTCTGTCGGTCGACCGGTAAAGATAATTTTAACTCCTGAACGTATGAGTATCGGCCTCCGAGCATTTCTCGTTGTAGCTGACAGCTTACAGCAGAAAGAGGGGGAACCACCTATGCCGCGCACTATGGGTGTTTTGCCAAGTGGAAACACAATGCGTGTCAAAAAGACATATTTGAACAAAGTATATATCATATATATATAATTCTTAATATTTTATTAAACGTAGCATTTTTACGAATATATTTTTACAATTCAGATGTTGACAGAGGATACTGCACGAAGCATAGGAATGTCCTCGTATTTTCCGCACGTACGCCGAGTGTTTGTAGATATCTTGCGCGCATTAGATGTTCATTATGGCAGACCTCTCATGATGACCAGTACTCAAAACATGAACAAGGAGCCGGATGAGATGATCACCGGAGAACGTAAACCTCGAATAGACCTCTTCCGAACTTGCGTTGCCGCCGTTCCGCGACTAATTCCTGATGGAATGACCGGTGCGGAGTTGGTCGATTTACTGGCACGTTTGACAGTACACATGGATGAGGAACTCCGTGCATTGGCATATCAAAGCTTACAGACTCTAGTATTAGATTTTCCCGATTGGCGACAGGACGTCGTACTTGGGTTCACGCAGTTTCTAGCCAGGGATGTGCAAGATACGTTTCCGCAGCTAATTGATAACGGTTTGAGAATGTTGCTGCAATTGCTGACCAGTTGGAAGAATGCCCTCACGAGTCCTAGTATAAGAGCTAAGGAGCAATCAGTGGATACTACACGGGTGAATATACGAGTGGATGTTAGCATCAAGAAATGCGAAACAGGCCAGGTTTGTATTAATGTTTATTATTTTGGAATTTGCAGGCAACGCATAGAATGCAATTGTAAATTTTATTTCTTGTTTACAGAAAATAGAACCTGTGTCGAACATATTCTATCTGGTGGAAGGATTTGCTTTGGTTATGCTCTGCAATTGTCGCCTTTATCCTCGACGATTGGCTGTTCATATACTTCGGGAGATTAAGCTTTTACTGAAGACTTTAGGTAATTATATTTACGCGTATTGTGCACAGTGCATCAAAATGTATATCTTATATACGTCATCTTTTTAGGAGGACCTGAAGATGATCAACCAGTCATTGATGTAATTGATGCTTGCTGTCCGGCTGTCTTGGAAAAATGTTACCCTATATTACCTCCAGCTGAGAAAGCAGCCGCTGCGTCTACTTCTAACGTGGATTTGCAATGGATAGCTGATAGAAGTAGTTGTGTTTGGACAGCTGGTAATACTAAATTTATCATACTTTTTATGCAAGTTTATATTATATTTATCTATTTATTTTACATTGCAGGATTTCACGATGAAAACAGTACTAAGAGTTCTTCCTCGCTTAATCTAAATGGAGCCGATCCGTGGGCCAGTTGTCTATTTGCTTTTCTGGAAAAGGACAGAGTACTTACACTATGTCCAAATGCCGTCGCTCATTCTTGGCCTATTGTTTTCACTCGCATAAACTCTTTGTTTTCAGTTGTGGATCCCACGTAAGATTAAACTCTATAATAAGTTTGTATATTAGTTACATTTAAAGTTTTGAAATAATTAATAGTCCTGTATTCGTACAGGCCAGTAAATGATAATCGAGCTTCATTATTGCGAAGTTCGACGACAGTGAGAAAACCAGTAAATGAGAGGGATGTCTATATGCATATTTGGAAAAATTACCTGACCTTTGGATATAGAGTCGTGCCACCAGTACCGAATCCAGTTGTTCGATGCGCCAGTCCAGATCTCAGTCTCAGGTAAGTTGGTCACATGAAAATCTATAGCAGGAGTTTAGAGATATCATATATCATCCTATTATATATTATTTAATATTTTTAATAGTTTTAACTTTTAATACAATATTCATGCTTATAATGTATCACTCAATAAAGTATGTATAATCGCGTGCATCGCTATGCTCGCTGTAGATGCAACTGAAACAGTTTGTTCGATGAATAGTAAAGTACCCGTTCAAAAACATCTGCATCGAGAGAATGTATGCACACGATTCATGTTTTGATGAAATATTTCAATAAAACTTCAAATAATTAAAAGCTCATATGTTTAGCAGAATATATTAGAGCTTTAAGTGTCTATATAAAAATGAGTCACTGAATAAAATCAATAATATCAACTTGGTATCGATTGGTGTTGGGTCATGCTTGTTAATGTCCACTATTTTGCACAGTAACATTTACTTTACCTGCTTTGTGAAATGTCAATTTCATCAGCGGTTAAATATTTTACAGAATTATAAAATTGTTCATTTTAAGTGTTAATTCTACATAAACACAGTTACTGAATTATAATGTTTTAGATTATATAAACACAAAAAGATCTAATATTATATGTATTCACACGTTATTCTCTATCTGATGTTGCGCACATCTAGCAATGGCAATTCTTCAATCGACTAGACTAGCACCAATTCGTACCAAATTCGCGCTTTGCATTCGGGAGCGGAATCCATACTTGCTCTGTCCTTTCTTCTATGCATATACATACTTCGCTTTATTTTCCGCAATATACTACCTATATTTCTCGCATGCTGTCTCCTATCGTACTGTGTCTCGTAC